TTCAATGGTGTATAACAATCCCTATAATAGTAAGTAAAGCAATGCAATATGATAGAGGAAAAAATTCTTGATCACATTAAGAATGTTATTTCAAAGCCTGGCCTACTGAGTTAGAAATTGTTCCATATATGGTCTGACATGTGTGAAAAAAATAATTTTACTTTTCTGTGTTGGGTTGATATACACCATAGAGTGCATGATAGCCCTGGTCCAGAAAGAAACAGGGAAAGTGACCCACTAAACTGTGTGAAGTCAAGAATGTTAGAGAACAGAAAACAAATCTCGCCTGAGGACACATCTACTTCATCTGTGTTCTTATCGAAGACCTGTCTGTCCAGGGACCCACTGGGATACAGAAGCAAATTCGGGCAGCTGGTCCAAAGTCAGATTTTTTGCCATTTTTAATTGCTCTTACAGCAGCTCTCTTTTATTGTTAGAACGATAGCAGGTCTACATCAAAATGTGGCCCAAAATCCTTTAAGCAAAAGTGATTCCACTTATCTTGTGAGCTGCAAAAAATCTTTCTCACTTTCCCTACTGTTTTCCTAGTGGTGCTATAATTGTTTTGAAAATGTTTTTATCTTTTAATTAACATTAAAGTGCTAAAGTGAACAAAACAGTTGCTATTATATTTAAGTTTCCTGGACTCTGATCACTGTCTGTGCATTCATTTTCTCTCATACTTTTGCTTTTCAGGAAGCTCAGTGAATCAGGGATTGGGAAATTTCTCCTGCAAAGGACACCAGAGTCAATACTTTAGACATTGTGGAGCTACAGTTCCGGTCCCAGCTTTTCAGTTCTGAGCATGTACAAAAGCAGCCAAAGAAATTTCCATAAGCAAATCAGTTTGCCTGTGTTCTCATAAAAGTGTATCTGCAATCAGGATTTTTACATGTCACAAAATATTCTTTCATTAATCTCCTAAAGTACAAAATGACTCTTAGCTCATAAGCTATACAAAAACAGGCCACACACTGAATTTGACCCACAGGCTGGAGTTTCCCAACCAATGAGTAGAATACTATAGTGTTACATTGATGAAAAATAAGAAAAATTATCTCCTATAAATTATTACTCCTTTTATATTGTATTTAGTTCTGAAGTAGAATAGAAGAAATAAACATAGAAAGATGATGAAGAAAATCATAATTCTAAAATTGTACTTTTAAGAAAAACTGCAACTTCAGGACATAAAAGTTACTCAAGGTTACAATGCCATTTTCTCTTCTAAGAAAACCTCCTAAATCTTTGAGTCTTAAAAACAATGCAATAGATGGCCTTGTACTTGCTTTTCTCTTGTAAAAAAGATTTTTCTTTCTTTTCTTGGAGTCAATGTCTCTGAGACAGTGTCTCCCTATGTAGCTCAGGCTGGCCTTGAATTCGCAGGACCCTAAGGTTACAGGCAGGCACCATTAAGTTTGGCTAAAAATAGCCCGCCTGGGAGTAGACCATGCCTTTCACCAGTAAAATCAGCCCTCAACTCATGAATGGGCCCTTACCTTTCACTTGTAGAAAGGACTATCACCTTTTAACTGTAAACTGAATCTTGATTTTCTATAAATTCACAAATTCTGCAGATTGCCACCCCCAGGATGTAAAATATACCCAGATATGGACCGTAATGAGACTCCTGCTCTGAGCGCCTGAAATCCCTTGGAGTGTATGGTTTTCTACTGAATCTCTTCTGATCCTCCTCCTGACAAGACCTGAGAATTCTTTTTCTGAGAGGATTCAGCAGACTTTGTTGGCTGGATAAACTGATGCCATCATTTGTAATTTGGAGAGCCTCTGTAGGTCCTGTAAAGTGATAGTGCCACTTGGATTTGTTTTTCTGATATACTCATAATCTATGCTACAATTCTAGCTTAACTCTTAGCTCAAGAGAATTCAGACTGATGAAGAAGATAGTACTAAGTTGCAACATAAATACATAGAATTTGCTTGAATCAAGTTTTACTAGACTAATCCATTATATTAAACAAAGACATGTTTATACAGAGTCCACCAAAGAAATGAATACACACTTCAGTAGTTCGCCATAGTAATAAAAGTCTACAAGCTAATAGCCATTACTTTGAGCACCTCTCGCAACTGTAAAGCCCAAAGGGAACTTGTATTAATCTCATGATGTCTTAATAAATTTAGTATTAAAATATTTATACAAGTTATTCTTTCCCTGATGTATGTGTGTATACATATATACATAGAGACTCTGTATATTTAACATAGAATGAAGTATTACTGGCACCCTTTGTTTTAAATATGAAGTCAAGGTATTTTCTAGATTGCCCTGACTTTAGAAGAATTCTGGAGCTCTAGCCATTAATGAAATGGCATGATTTTGATACAAAACACATGTGGGAACTTGTTTCACGGATAATGGAAATTAGAACTGAAACAACAGCATGAATTTAGAAGAAAAATTTTTATTGTGAAGAGCTGGGGCCTTTAGGTCGCAGAGGAAAGTAGAAGAATGACACAAATGATCAGAGAAGGTCAGTCGCTACTCCATGGAGAAACAGACCTGGTTCACCTGGCATCACAGAAGTGGGTTTTCAGCAGGTCATTCTCTGCTAGCTCATGAGCATATTTTGCTTATTTTTTTAAATGATATTTCTTCCCAGTGATTTATGGGATTTCTTTCAGGTGTAAGATTTGGGTAAGTGGTTGTGTCTGTAATAGGAGACATCGAGGAGCCATCCTGCTATTACAGTAAGTTGAACCTTGTGTGATAAGAGCAGGAGAAAAGGAGACAATACAGACATTGCATACATTGTTAACAAGGGAGATGCACTAGCTTTCCTAGTCTCTGTTGCGTGGTACCCAACACGGTCAGTTTAAAAAAGGAGAGTATAAATTTGCCTCACCATTTCAGGGCAGTCAGTCCATGGATTACTGGCTCCATGGATTACTGGATTACCCTAACCCTAATCCTAACCCTAACCCTAACCCTAACCCTAACCCTAACCCTAACCCACAACTTAGTACTATCTTCATCATCAGTCCGAATTCTCTTGAGCTAAGAGTTAAGCTAGAATTGTAGCATAGATTATGAATAAATCAGAAAAAGCAAATCCAATTACGTCCATGGATTACTAAAGTAGGAACACTGCGGCAGAAAGGCCTAGTGGGGCAAAAATTCTTACTTACTTGCAATGAGGAAGCAAAACATGGGAAAAATACCAATGAAGAAAGGACCAGGGACCAGATATAGAACCAAAGGTCACACCTCCAGATCTACTGACACACCCCAAAGGGTACTGCACTAATCTGTTAAGTGCTTCTTTAAGTTGATGAATCAGAATTCACCATCAAAGAAGATAAAGAGAAAGCGATTTCTCTATGTTTAGAGGGTCATAGGTAAAGGCCCAAGAGTGTACATCTCCTACCCCATGTAGGAGATGCCTCCTGTCCCATTTCACTTTTACTGGGTTGACTATTTTACTATTTGGTCAATGGTCTCAGAGTTAAGATTTTTCCATTCAGCCTTCTACACTCACCTCAGAATTGTCACTTTCTTACAGGACACAAAAGGGAAATTGTCATGGAAAGCAACGAACCAATGGCAAATGACCACAAGCCAAAGCTTTTATGGAAACTCAGAAATAAAAGGAAGATGGGAAAAGAAATTTATCTCAAAGAGCTAAGGAGTACCCAGCCCCAAGATTAGACTTGCTCATTCGTGAAGAATGTAAGTAGCTTTTATAGCCCTTTGGGGTGGTTCTGGGCCAGTAACTTTTCAGTGGATCATGACTATGGTGTTTTCAGAGAATTCTCTTCGTGTTTTAGGGGACTTGCTCCCAGTGTAAGATATGGATTGTCCTTGAGGACTTTGTGTCTCCCTGCTGTTTTTGGGAACATTGTCCTTGGGATGAGAGAAGGTCACACATTCCACACACTGCTAGCAAGAGAGGATAGGGGGAAGGATCATATCTCAGTCTGACCTGGGAGCAGGTTATAGATTCAGACCTGAAAATCGTCCACCTCTGTCCCATGAGGCTTGCCTGTCCTATATCAACCCTTCATTTCCTTTATTATTCTCTTTTAGATCAGATTTCTTGGACACTATTGAAAGTATTAAAAATTATAGCCCTTGTTAGGAACGAGGGGAGGAGATGGTATCAAGCCAACAAAGCCAGGAAGCTGTTCCTGTGTTTATGACATTGGCTAAATAAATTATGCTGAAGTTCTCAGGAACACTGTTCTTGCTTTAAGTGTTTCTAGTAATAGAGCTACTTCCAGCCAAACACTCCTTAAGAGAGAGGCTGGGTGGAGTAATTAATCCAGTAATTTACAAAGTTACCAGCCGTTTCTTTTTTAATATCTTTAACCGGCTTTGCAAAGCTAAAAGCAAGGTGCAACACAGTCAAGGCCTAGAGCAACACACATTCCCTCTGGTGTTCCTCTTTTTTAGCTCTTAAGATGTACTATATACCCGGGGAATTTATTTTGGCAGTCCTGGGGTTCAGACCAGGGACTCATGTAAGCAAAGCAAGCACTGTAACATTGAACTACACCCCAGCCCTCAGAAACTTAAATAAACAAATATCTAGGCTGGACTCAGATGTTAGTTGTTAACACATACTTTTTTGTCAAAATTAAAGATATGGGACATCTTGTTCCAAGAGTAGAAAAATGTATTCAAGACACTTAATGTAAATCTTTCTTTCACAGCCTTCTTTAGTCCTTTGACACAGTGTGTCATCTGCTATTTAATGTTGTGGTCCCTAAGAAATGGGATAACAGGGGCAGGTAAAAACCCTCACAGATTCCCAGGAACGTGTCCTGCTCATCACACTGGCTCCTGGGGTGACTGATGCGCTGCACCCAGACCAGGGTGAAAAAGTCAATTTTCTCCTCCTTCACACCTGCTGCCCCATCTGTGGCGGACAAGCAGTGGATTCCCACAGGATTGCAACTTCCACAAAGTGTGAGGGCAGCACCTGAATCAGAAAGGCCAGGCGTCCTAACAATGAGTGCTCTGGCTGGCACTCTCCTACCTGTGCACCACGGTGCCCGCAGGGGGAGACAGCTTCTCAATGGTGGTGAGCGGACGGTAGACAGCTTCAAAGGCACGGAGTCCCCACTGCTTGTTTCATTGTCCACTGGAATTTTCTTACAAAAATAATGTAAAAGGTAAAACCATTACAAATTTCAAGATAGAGACCCTAAGCCCTGGGCTCTCCTGAGAGCTGGAGCCCTGGATTGCTCTACTCAAGAAGTCAACCTTAAGGACTAAAAGGTAAGGAGCTCCCATCTTCCAATAAACTAATTAAATCAACCTGCATAGCACCCAATCCTCACAAGAGCTTTTTCAAGGAGGCAGTATTCACGGCACCCATATAGTGCAGTCAGCAAACCCAGCCTCAAACATTTGCAAAGTCTCAGAGCTGTGTGTGCATATGTCAGAATTCTCCTGTAAGGCTTCCCGCCCTGGATCCTCAGTACAAAGCAGCTCGGTGTCTCAGAGCACACTGCTTTGACATCCATCTGTGGCTTTGTCCTTGGATGGAGCCTGCTTACCTGAGGATTTTCCTCATCCTCTGCGATATCCTTCATATGACTCTCTGGATCCTCATGAAGACTTACTGTTCACTTGGTCACTTAAGACATTCTTTGAGACGCAGCAAATGCCTGGTAAACTTTAGCTGTTACTATTCTCTTTAAACTCTGCTTATCTGTTTAGATGTTCTTTTAAATGCATGCAAAGAAAGTTGTTTAAATTGGTAATAGATTTACTAATTTATTTACCAATAAATTGATGTGTGCTTTTATCAGGTATGTAGCATGAAGGAGGAGCTAATATGTGTATTTCAACCACAACAGAGAAGGTACTGAGAGTGTTTTTAAGAGAGTTAAGCTTTTAAAATGCTTCCCATCATATCTATGAGACTCTTAATACATAGATATTATAATTTGGAAATCAACGAATGCATACCTAATTTATATACTGATTAGAATGTATACACTTTAACACCTAGATCTTGTAGAGATGGATTCCAAGACACACATTTTCATTTTCCTGAGGTCCCAGAGTTGGTGTGTGGTGGTCCAGTATCCTAATTGAGGCAACCTGGCCCTAGTTTCCTTTCTCTAAGCCATACAAGGTCTCATATGATAAGACTTCTTTAATATCTGCGGGATTAAGTCTGTATGAGTTAGAATTCCACATATGAATTGCTGCATACTAAGAAATTAAAACTAAAACTTATTGTTTCTCATTTTCTTCATTGACCTCAAAATATATATTAAAGATTATATGACAATTAATTTAAATGGGAAATATTTATTGAGCACCAACTACAGTCCTGCTCTAACCCAGATCCTTATGACACATTCATGAAAGAAGTTGACAAAGATCCCTTTTATTGAGGAGCTCACATCCTAGCTAGTAACTTCAGTTTTCTTCAAATTATCTTCCCTACACTGAACAACTTTCTGAAAATTTATTTTTAATAATGACAACTAGTAGGCAAACAGATTTGTTTTACTAAAAAATGTTGAGTCAAATAGGATTGCATCCACATTTTTATTAACATCATAATATCTACTAGTGGGACTTTTTATCCTCCTTTTTATGTCTTTTTTCTTTTTCTTATAATTTTTGTTCTCTCTGTTTATCAATGCTATTAGTCATTACATTTTAGCATCCCACTAAGGGGAAAGTTAAGGAGCTGCCACATGAATCTCAGTCAGTCCTCTGCTATGCTCATGTGGTGTAGCTGTTCTTGAAACAGGAAAGCAGACTGAAAATCATTCTTATTTCCATTGCTGCCCTTCTTAAAAGTTCTAGGATTAATACTTCATTCTAAAATTATTGTACTCAACCACTCACTATGGAAATACACTATGTACAGTGTAAGAACATTGTCTTTTAATGCATACCTTAATATTTTTTCTAATTTTTTTTATTTAAAAGAAAAAGCAATAACAAAATAACAACAACAAAGACAAAACCAAAATAACACAAAAATGCTAAAAACCATACCAGATTTCAAAGCAAAAAGATCGGAATTAACAGTGGCTGCTATATTACATATTGTTATCTTCAGTGAAGTTGCTCAGATTATCAGATGTAAGAATGTAAAACTGATGATACTGAGAATAAAAAGTAACAAAAATACATTTAAATGATACAGAGGTTCACTAACCAAGATGGTAGGAATCCAACAATGGTTGTTATATTGCATATTGTTGCCTTCAAATTAGTTGTTCAGATTACCAGATATAAGCATGCAAAGTTGGCCAAAGAAAAAAATTAAGCATTAATTGTTCCTCTCAATAAACCAATAAACATCAGCAATACAATTATCCTAGCTATCCTTGTATATTACATATATATATATATTTTTTTCCCTTCCTTCTTTTGTTTCTTTTCTCCTTTCCCCCATCCCAGTTGTTCTTTCCTTTTGAGTAGTTTCCTTCCCTTTCACTATATCTGTTGTACCTTTTGGGTTTTATTCACTCTTTCAGGTTCTTACACTAGCGAGACAATACAATGTTTACACATGCAGATCTGATTCATTTCACTTATGAGTATGTCTCTAGTTGCATCCATTTACCTATAAAAGCCTCGAGTTTATCTTTTTTTTATAGCTGAGTAATACTTCATTGTATAAAAATACCACATCTTTTTCATCCATTCTTCCACTGATGGGCATTTGGGCTGTTTCCAAGATTTAGCTATGACAAATTGCACTGCTATAAACATGGGTGCACATATATCATTGTGGTATGAAGTTTTCAGAGATTCCTCACAAAACTAGGATTAGAGGTCCCCTTTAACCCAGCTATACCCCTTCTGGGTATTTTTCCATACCTTAATATCTGTACATATTTTTAAATTAAAATAATATTTGAAAATAAAACAAAGTTCTTATTTAAATTAGTTGACTAGTCCATTTTGCTTGGTTTTAAATATGAGGATATGTATCCTTTTAGAATGATTCAGGCATTCTTTTTTATTACTATGTAATAAAAGAGTATCAGTGCAAAATAAGTAAATATACACAGAAATATGTGCATATATACATAAATACATGTGTAAATTTCCATAAAAAACTTTTAAATAAGCTACATAAAAATAGAAGTTGAAATTAAGACATTTTAATTTTTATCTGCCATAGGTAACTTTTTATATGATTTATAAGTTGACATAAGATAAAGGTGCCAAAAGTGTCAGTGTTTTATATTCAGTAGCATATCTGTCTTGAAAGCTGACAGACTAGTTTTGGATTGTGCCTCTAAAACCTTCCAGCAGGCTGCTCTGAGGATTTTGGATGGCATTCCTGAACTTCATTTTATCAGATGGAAAAGAGGGATAATGATAAGCCCCTTATATAAAGTATCTGACACACAGAAGTGTTTGTTCTATGGTAGAAATAACCATAAAAGAGTAATATTTAAGAAAGATGAAAAATCCTGTAAAGACAGAAAAGTGTTCAAGAAACCAGTTTTTGTGTGATTATGGAATTTGACTGAGAGGGCTACATAGAAATAATGAACTGATTCAAACATGCCGCAATCTCTGGGTATATATCAAGAAGGGAATCCAAAGAGGTGTTGTTTGAAAGTCAAGGTCAGATCACGTGCTATGTGAGACTTTTGGATACGTTCTTTCAGGTATTTCTCTAAATAAAACTGAGCCACATGCTGAGGGAGTGAGGAGAAGAAGAAAAGTCCACTTGAAAACCCCATGGGTCCTCTGTGTCTGCTAATGGTCAATGACTAATAGATGAAGTGTCCGTGCAAAGCAGAATAAAGGAGCTAAACGTTTTAGTTCTGGGAAGAAGGTCGTTTCTGGAGTAGTCTTAGTGGATCAAGAAAAATGCACATTTTGTCACAAGGTCTTTTATTTTACTGTTGACACAAAGCTAATTTAATACGGACATCTCTGGAATATAAGAAGAGTATTCACAGACCGTCATTTTCACGCAACCCGTTATCTATACATTCATAATGAAGCCTGTGAAAGAAAAATGGTGGAGAGACGGGAGAGGTGAGTACATTTCTTAAATAATGGAAATTTTTTTTTTTTTTTTTTTGGTCACTGGAATCGAACTCAGGACCTCACGCTTGTCCAGCAGGTGTTGTGCTGCTGAATTCTAGCCCCAGTCCATAATGGAGATTTTTACAAGGCATCTGTCCAAAAAGTCATTCTAGAGATCATTGTAGATCTCAGGTATGGTTTGTACTTATTTAAAGATGTTTTATTGTGGAATTTCTCTCACCTAGATTTCATGGAATGAAAATATTAGCTATTCTATTTTAATTTTGAAATCATAAAGAATATGATAAAATAAGAAAATTGGACTCTTATGAAACTATTTTTATTATACAAAATTATTTTATTAATATTTATATTATTATTTCATTGTACAATTGTTTTTCATCAATATGTTCTGTCAAATTCCTAAGGGTCATGAATCATAACAAAGCAGGAATGGATTTTGTTCATGTACATAGATTTGTTTAATTTTCTTAAAGTTTGCTTTACATTTGGAAGTGATGAAAAATTATATTTTTGGTTTTTATTTCTCTCCTTATACCAGCATGAATTTAATACATAGAGATGGTTTCATTTTCTTTTGTCATTCATTATGGTTTATATCACTCTTTTTTTTTTTTTTTTGGTTTTGGTTTTTGGTTTTTCTCCGGGACCGGGAACCGAACTCACGACCTTGCGCTTGCCAGGCAGGCGCTTTTGCCGCTGAGCTAAATCCCCAGCCCCCTGGTTTATATCACTCTTTAAAAACTTGAAATTCTGTAATATAACTACTGCATCTCAAAGTACAATATATCCTTAGATCAAACAAGATAAATTTTAAAAGAATGATTGTTACTGTAACTCCTCTACTAACCTGTTTGGAAACTCTGCTTTGTTGCTTTTATTTTTCTTTCTTTAAAATTAAAAAATGAGTGTTAGCTTTAATATTGGCCCACATACATGTTTCATTTGGCTTTTAAAAGCCACATTAAATGTCTTTATAAGACAAATCATCTGATCTTTCATTTTGTTGCATCCTTCACCCACTCGTTCTGTGCTTACAGAGAGACCATGTGGACTGGCCTGGAAGAAAGGAAGTATGTCTCAGTCTG